CTTGGGAACCCAGTGTCAGAAACATCCGGGGCTGTCCCTCTATTCACTGTCCCCAGAGCCATCTGTTCAAACCAGTGCTGCACTGGCCGCCTTCATCAAAGTTGAGGTTTACTCATCTGTTTACTTTGCATTAAGTCAGGCCCTTAAAAACTCAGACTTCTTTGCCTGGGCATATTTTAGAAGTTAAATACTAAGAAAACTAGGAAAAATGAAGGTCCAGGTTTAAAACGCTTTCTTAGCAAACTTACTGTGCCAGGGGCATCACCAGCCACCCTGAACTGTGTGATGGTTCTGTGAGGATGTTGTACCTCTACCTTTCGGTTGTTAAAAGTTGTTTCTTAAGCGGCCTCACAGCTTTGCGGCCTCTGCATTTCTCTCCCTGCCCAGCTGAACTGCAAAGGTCTCCAGGCTTTCCCCTTATCATCCCAACCAATGCTTTCAGTCCCTCCTCTGCTACCACAGAACCTGAAGCCCTTCTCCTTCCAGACCTCATCTCCTTCCACACACACGCATTTTTCCAAAATATTTCCAGTTTCAACAACACAACCTCTAATCTGACCACCCCCCACCCACCCACTCATAACACACCCCCCTTCTCCTCAGCACCCCCACCTGCTACCAAAACTGGTGGGTCCAGATCTACAAGCAAGGTACCTGAGTCTCGGTGTGTTTGCTCAGGACAGACGTCAGCTGGGAGGCCAGACAGAGTGACTGACAACACAGGCAAATCCTCAGCAGGGAGCTTATTTCCTCATGTCCGAGTGCAGCCCTGTTGTCACGCTGGAGGAAAAGGCCCAAATGTTTTTGGTAGCGGAGAGACTGTGGAAGGGTGAGAGGGTGGGAGCTGCATCATGTGAGCGTATACTTTTTGCACAGAAACCACACAACTTCTAAAACAACCACTTTACAGACTGATATCCCAACTTTTTTCTTGGAGGCGAAGGAAACAAAATGTTTTGGTTTGGAAGGTCCAGGTCTGTTTTCAGTGTGTTGGGTGGTGGACTGACTTTTCCGGAGACTACGTCTACGAGCCGGCCGGGTAGGAGCAGTGTGAGCACCCTCTCCAGCATACGCCCTCTCCAGGTGTCCATTGAGGAGGAGTGATGGAAGGGAAATGATCAGCTTCCACAGATTTGTTTCTCAGTTTCTGGTTCTGGCATGTGCGTGTCTTCAGTTTTTTCCAGTGGGCAAGGCAAAGAGAGCACGTCCTTTGTATTAACCAGCAGGCAGACCGTGTGAGTGCACTCCTCTTTCCCCAAGAAATCAGGTTAAAAATACCTGACCGTTTGGTATCGACTTTAAATGCGAAATAATCTCCTGCCCTCATTTACAAATTCAGCTTAAAGATCCTCCCTTACTGCCCGTGAGGTGGCAGTGGCAGGTAAGAGCCCTTCCTAGCAAAATGCTTAAGCAGAATTTTAACGAGGAGCTTACAAGTAGCACCACCGATGGCTCCACTCTTTCTCACCACCTCCGAAAACTGGGCTGTCCACTCCTGCTGTTTCCAGTCCCATCTGCTTTCAAGCCAAGAAGAAAGCCACCCCCCTGTTTAGGTCTTTGTCCTGTGCAGCTGAGATCAGTAGGTGTTTTGCCTTTGCTTTTAGTGAGTCTGTAAAGGAGCTGGTAGCTATACACCTTGACCCCAACAATTTCCGGTGCT